CGCATTGTACCTGTCGAACATGCAACTTTTAGGTACCTCTTGTTCCTCGAACAATTGGCGATGAGTCCAAAGCTGGAAGATGAGATAAGCAATGTAAGCAATAAGCATAACAATACTGCTCGCTCGCGACAGAGTAAGCGACATTTTGTTAATGAGAGAGGTCGATGTTTCTGCAGTCGCTGAATATGTTAAGAACAATGGCAGCAAATGACACAGCAGACCCATAAGAAGCAAGAAGAAGTTCACGTCGGCTTGTTTCTGTAATAAACGAGAAGAGAGAAGAATCATGTTTCCCCGGTTTGGTTGTAACAAATTACCCTACGAATCTAAACCGGAGTCAAGGAGCATTTATGATTTATATACCCGGTCGAACCGCTGTTCGCGGCGGATATTGGCAATACCACCACAGAAGAGGGAAGTGCCAAGAACCAAGAGAAGGTTTGAGAGAATAGAACCCAATAGAGAGTATTTCACCACTGCCACTTTGTTATTAGCCAACGCTAGAATCGCGATTATTAGCTCAGTCGCGTTTCCACAAGTAGCGTTCAACAAACCGCCCACTACCAAAGTAACAAACACATGACAACATTAACTGAGAGTTAATTATTAAACTGATTACATAATAGATTCGGAGAATAATTTAGATTTGTATGAAAAATGTTACCTGTTGGACCAGTGTAGAAAGCTAGTTGCCTGCATGTGTAAAGAGAGGACCGATCATGTTCTATTCTTATTATGTGATATTAGTTGTATTAAAATTGTAACTAAAAATTTATTTTATCTTCTTGAAATATGACTTAAATAATACGTATTTCTCGTCGTTTTTTATAATACTCCCTCTGTTTCAAAATGTAAATTGTTTTAACTAAAAACGCGTATTTTAAGAAACAATTATTTTACTAAAAACTATCATTTAATATATCTAATAAAAAAAATTTGACCAATCACACAAAAAAACTACAAAATATTAATGATCACAAAATATTTAATAAAATTAAAAATACTTAAAATTATCAAAACAACTTACATTTCAAAAAAAAATTTTCAAAGACAATTTATATTTTGTGGGACGAGAATAATGTACTCTGTCAAAAAGCTAACTCTTTCAGCAAGCGGTGTCAGTCCTATCAAGCTCAGTCCAAATATCCAAGGCTGTCACAAATTTCACAAAAATAAGAATATTATTTTAGAAATAAGAAAATAAAGTAGTCTTATCTGTTTGACTCCATGCACTAAATATAGGTAACGGATACGTGTTGGAATACAATGAATTAATACTGACGAAACAGAAGAAAAAAACAAAATTTCACATAAAATTAATCACGTGATTTAGACAAGTTTAGAGAACATTGCAAAAGTAGAACGTAATATAGTGTTTCCCGAGACATTTATGATAAGAGAAACAAGAAAAATACATTGCTCATTTAAAGCTAATTAAAATTAAAGTTTTCTTTATAAATATAGCTGAAATTAAATTCGAAAAAATTGACTTCGAATTTATTAACTAAAAAAAATCCATAAAATTGGTTGGGAAATTTCATATTCCCGTCAACTAAACATTTATCTAAATTTAGGTAATTCATTGGGAAACCAAACATGAATTGACTCAATTATCTAGCAAAATTCACCAAATATACACTAAATTCTCTAGCAAAATTCTGTATGGTTGTTCGATCGTTACGAATATTTTGAATGGAAAAAATATTTAACGTTTTACAGGGATTAGTCTAGGTTTTGGCTCAAGATCTCCGGTTT